TATTATAAATTATAATTGATTATCTTATAAATTAAAATTTATTATTATTATGTTAGAACTTCGAAATAATTATGTTATAAGTTAGATTAGAAATTATTATGTTATAAGTTATAATTGATTAACTTATAAATTTGAATTTTTTAAATTATGTTATAAATTATATTTAATTATCTTATAGAAGACGATATTGATTACAGTTGTGCTTTCATTACGGAGGACGTACTCGGTATTGATGAAGAAGCTATTACATAGGCAAAGAAAATGGCAATTATATATAGTTTTGAATTGGTCATTTCTTCACACAAAAAAAAAAGAAGGAAGGGTAAAGGTGTTGAGGTGTTCGCGAGGTGAACGTTACAGAAGCAGTATAGGAGATTTAGATCAAGTTGTTGTCAAACGTTCAAAGGCTAAAGCGTGCAAATTTCCATTTCGGGTAGCAATCTAACAGGTGGCACGATCTACAACTTGGAGGATCCGTGTAAGTAATGTTGTTAATGGGGGAATGCATAATCATGTATTAGTTGTATATTCTGAGGGTTATCGACAGATGAGTGGGCTTAGCGCTTCATCTAAAGATATTGTCCGTGATATGATTGCTGCTCAGCCAAAACCGGTAGTAATTTTGGTTGCGATCCAGGAATAAAAAATTCCACGCTACTCGGTGACATTTGTATAACTATAGAGATCAATTGCAGAGAGATAGTTTCGTGAGTAGAGATGTGACTACCCCGATTCTGTATTTGGCTTTGAAGATCAATTTTATAGTTTATACATATGTTTGTGAGGAGACACAGGGGTTGACACATCTGTTCATGTCACATCCTCAAGCAGTCAGTCTATTTTGGACATATTACTGGTACATCAGTATAGATCAAATGTACAAAACCAACCGGTAGGTTACTTTATAAATAACAATATAGTATGAATCTTAATTAGTATGTTTGAGTAAGTTTTTATATTCTATGTTTCCTCATGTTGCTCTCATTTGCACAGGTACCAGATGTCGTTGGTGGAAATTGTTGGGATGACGTCGTGCGACGAGGACTTTTTAATTACATATGCAACTATCATGGGCGAGAGCGAGTACAACTATGACTGGGTTCTACAGATGTTGAGAAATCTGATCGGTCTGATGTACATCCTACAGCTATTTTCACTGACAAGAAGTTGGGTATAGTGACTCATATTTGGAGGAATATTCCAGAATCTTGCCATTTACTATGCACGTGTTACATCAACAAAGATGTGGAAGACTGAGTCTATCGACTCCTTGAAAATAATAAGGATATCGATCAAAACTTCACGCACGACATGTGGAAGAAGGTTGTCGAAGCGGTTATGAAGGATCAATACTGCATTGCCCTAGTTGAAATGTATGGTCGGTACGCGAGGTTTCAGAAAGTGTAACTTTTTTTTTTTAATTTCTCCATCAATCGTGCCATAATAAACAACAAGTATGTATTAAGATTTAAGTATCCCATTATCATTGACATTTATATTATGAGATACATGCTCAAGTTGTTAGAATATGTATTCCTCTTGCGATTTGCTACACTCAACCAACTAGAAGAGGATAATGATTGCCTCATTTTCGTGTGTGAGGCCTAGTCACTTCCATGGGCGTACCTACATTAAGAAATATAATAAACAACTTCCATCATAAGGCTCTTAAAACCACAAATAATTTAGAGGAACATTTTTTTACAGAAATAAGGGTCCTGAAAACTAAGGGCACACAAATTTCGACCTCTTATAAAAAAATCATTCGTGGACAACAAATGTAGTTGAACCTAAGCATCAAACTTTATCATAAACAACTAAAACAAATAACCCAACTAGCTTGGTTCGTTATTTGTGCAACTATAAAATAAGTAAGAATATAGTAGACAAAAAAAATGGTAAAAAGAATGAATTAAGGATAAGGCAAAGTCGAATAATAAGGGGTAACCTAAATGTTAGAAAAATTCAAAGATCACAAGATATGGGCTTCAGTTCCGAGCATCGTCAAGTCGATTTAAAAATCCTTATGTCGAGTTTGTGTGATGGTTGCGCCAAGGAAAATTTGTGGGACGTAATTTTCCATAAATCGGTAGGCTTGTACTTGAGAAATGAAAGGTGAAATATGAAACGTAAAATCTGCCCTTGTGCGCTACTTTCATTTGCTTTTAGTTTCTTACATCAGGGGTATTATTGGACGATTTACATTAAAGGAAATGAAAGGCTGCAAAAACTTTGGGCAACCAAACATGATAAAAGCATTATTAGTTTTTTTTCCCATTCCAAGGGAACCAAACAACATTTTAAGGGGGTGAAGTAGAGAAAATTTACTCCATCTACTATCTAAATGAAACTTTACATGAGAAATATGAAAGTGAGATGTTATTTCTAAAATTACAATGCTTTACTTTTGACCAAATTGAAAACGGAGCATCTCAAACCCTAACTTTGAGTTTAAGAAGAAAAAATGAGAATGGATGACAAAGACAAAGAATGGGAAATCGTTCTCCGATTGTTATCCTCCGCCACCATAGACGACACCGACCCCACCTCTAACTCCTTCCTTCTCCGTCATACGCCCCCACGACCTCTGCAGAGACCACAAAAACTCCATGGAGGAATTGGTGGCTAGGGTCACCCTCAACTCAAGAAGATATTCTAGTGTTGCTCGTCCACACTTTCCCAATCCCAAACATCCAATGGCCTCCTCTTGCTCCTATCCTCCAATTTTTTATTGGTTTCGAGGATTATGTCCTACACGAGACCATGCCCAATCTATAAATATTTTTCCGGTTTTGTATGAGCTGCAAGTTTTCGAATCCCGCCGTCGCCGAGACAACTCTCCAATTCCAACAAAGTCCTTACCTGCCCTTCTCCCCCAGTTTTCTCCCTACGCGGAAGAAGAGAGAGATGAAACAACGTGTGATTTGGTTCGAAAAAATGTTTTTCAACAAAAGGTGTACATATTGTTTGGATTGGAATACAAGAAGCTCGGGAGGCCCACCTGCTTGTCCGCTCAAGTCATCGACTTCACTAAGTGGAAAGGCGGTCATGGGACGTCGCCCTAACCTACGATGCTTTTGGTGTTTGTTCCATGTTCTGAAGACAAAGACAAACTTAACTGATGTTTATTGATAGTTTGATTATGCTGTAATGATCTTTTTTTTCTTAGTTTCAGTTTTATTGTAGTTTATATT